GGGAGGGGCTGAACTAGATGATCTTTAAAGGTCCCTTCCAACACAAATCATTCTATGATTCTATGTTTTCAAGTACACTATATGTCACTGGAACATGTTTGGAGTACAAATCACAGAAGCTGTGCCAAATGCATGGTCAGATGCATATCTGCCCAGCAGCCCATGGTGAAGACCATGGTGATGCGGGTTGTTCCACTGAAGCCCATAGAGGTCCACAATGGACCAGATATCCACCTGCAGCCCATGGTGGTCCATGGTGGAGCAGATATCCACTCTGCAGCCTATGGAGGACTCCATGCTGGAAAATGCTGGAGCAGTTCATGAACTGCAGACCATGGGAAAGACCCACAATGGAGAAGGTCATGGAGGACTGTCTCCTGGGGATGGAACCCCACACTGCAGTAGGGGAAGAATGTGAGGAGGAAGGAGCAGCTGAGACAGTGCATGACAAACTGACTGCAATCCCCATTCCCTGTTCCCCTGTGCCACTCCGGGGGAGGAGGTAGAGAAACTGGGAGTGAAGTTGAGCCAAGGAAGAAGGGATGGGTGAGGGAAAGGTGATTTTAGATTTGTTCTTATTTCTCATTATCCTTCACTAATTTGATTAGTAATAAATTAATTTAACTTACTCTGAGTCGAGTCTGTTTTGCTCATAGTGGTAATCGTTCAGTGATCTCCCTGTCCTTACCTCGACCCACGAGCCTTTTGTTATATTTTCTCTCCCCTGTGCAGTTGAGGAGAGGGAGTGACAGAGCAGCTTCGTGGGCACCTGGTGGTCATCCAAAGTCAACCCGCCACAGTGGAACACACAGACTTTTGCTAATAAGTGACATGGATGGTCCAAATATCTCATCAATAGAGATGTTGAGATGACATCACTTTTACGGGAGCAAACACAGCTCTGCAAAGGATGCCAAGGCTGTAGTTGTCCATGGAGGATGGTGGGAGAGATTAAAGAAGAGAAAGCAAGCTGGAGGATAGATGTACCTGACTACCATGGTTTAGCCCCAGCTGGCAACTAGGACCATTCAGCCATTGACTTGCTCACCCCTGCCCTCCCCAGTAGGGTAAGGAGAAGAGGGAGAAATAAGAAAAAAAACTCCTGAGTTGAGACAAAGACAGTTTAATAGAACGGTAATGGAAGAGAAAATAATAATAATGGTACAGGAATATACAAAATTGTGATGCAATACAGTTGCTCATTACTTGATGATCAATGGCCCAGCTTGTCCCCATCAGTGATCCCGGATTTCTGTCCCTGGCCAACCCCCATTTATATACTGAGCATGACGTCGATGGTCAACTTGTTTTGTTTATGCTCCCTCTCTGTTTCTGTGGGACGCTGAAGAAGTCCTTGACTTAATATAAACATTACTCAGCAACAACTAAGACAATGTGTATTACCAATATTATTCTCATGCTAAATCCAAAACACAGCAGCTACTAGAATAAAAATTAACTCTAGCCCATCTGAAACCAGGACACTGACATAGCTGTTTGATGTGCTCTAAAAGAACCTGTCAGTAAAAGGAACTGCAAGATGCATGTTTCTTTCTTTACACTTTTCTTTCTTTATACCTAATTTAGTAACACCCCTAAGATTGCCCTTTTCTAGGAGTGCCAGGAAAAAAATACAGCCAGTGGCTGTGATTTTTGCGTGTTCTGTACTTGGTTTGTTATGCTTTGATCTGTTTCGCAAATCTTGCAAAAAGTAGGTTGTCCCTTTTTCTAGATCCCGAATCATTAGCGATAAACGACTAATTCCTTCTTTCTGGCCCTACCTGTGCACTTCAACAGGTGTGTAGCCACCAGACCTCCACCAGAAATGTCTGCCATCAGTTCTTTACTTCTCAAACCCCTGTCTCCCACTGGGAAATCCCAGTATTTTGCCTGTTAAATTCTCAATTTTCTCTAGCGGTAAGTACCAGGATCTCTAGCTGTAACATCTGATAATGAGTATAATTCAATAAAATTTTTTACAATGAGGGTGGTGAGACACTGGAACAGGTTGCCCAGAGAAGTTGTGGATGCCCCATCTTCTGAAGTGTTCAAGGTCCAGTTGGATGGGACTTTGAGCAACCTAACCTACTGAGAGATGTCCCTGTTCCTGGCAGGGAGGGGCTGAACTAGATGATCTTTAAAGGTCCCTTCCAACACAAATCATTCTATGATTCTATGTTTTCAAGTACACTATATGTCACTGGAACATGTTTGGAGTACAAATCACAGAAGCTGTGCCAAATGCATGGTCAGATGCATATCTTGCAGCTGCACAGCATGCTTCTATTTAGCATGCTACATAGTGTGCTTGTCATTTAGCACAGGATATTCATGACCATGACACCATGAGAACTTGCTACTTGTCCTTTTACTCCTCCTTTATTGGAAAAACTTTGAATCTACAAGTCCACCTAGGCAGGCTCTAGGCATCTTTCTCTCTGCAGATTTATGAAAATCAGCTTGGACAAACATCTCCCAGTCTTGGGTCTTGCCTCACTCCAAGATGGGCCAGACAATTTATTGAGGTTTCTTCCAATATGACATTTCTTGGAAAGTATCACTTGCTCTAAGATACCAGAGAGGGAATATATGAAAATACAGGGCAAGATGCTAGACTTTCCACTTCTACATTCTCTCTTCAATACAAAGGTTTTACAAAAGTATTTAGTTGTGGGAGTATCTCCTTTTCCTGTACACTGCCATGGCTGTGATGGGATATGGTCTTTATTATAAAAATTATCATGGCAACCCAAAATGACGAAGGAGAGCTAAAGGCACTTTTGTGGCAGGTAGGATTGTGTGTGTGTGTGTGTATCTGTATAATCTATTGTACATATATTCAGGGTACCATCCCAGTTCTATGTAATGTAACCTGTAAGATGCCCCACTGCATATATTTCATGTTATTGGTGTGAGTAGTCATATTAGTAAGGATGAACATGCTTTCTAAAATTTCCAATGTAAACATGATATAGGAGAGAAGAAATGGAGACACAAACTCACAGTGAAATTAATATGATTACCTGAAAAAGCACTAGTCATGACCAAGCCTCTTTTGTCAAAATTTCTGTAAGCTGCACAACTTAAGTTAAAGAGAAAGCAGAAAGTGCATATTTAGTTGCGGGTTTTGCACAGAGATCCTTCTCAGACATAAGATACCATGAAAGAAGTAACAATAATTGGGAAAAAAAAAAAAAAAAGAAAATAAAATGCAAATCTATTCCTAAACAATATTGGAAGTGACCTGTGCAGGCAATAATTTACTGATGGATTTCTGTCTGAATTTATTTTTCTGCCTTATATCATATCTGATCATATCTGTCTTTATATATTTATTTTCTGAAAAGACTTTATGACCAGGATTTTAATAGCACATTCATATCCTAAGCAACTAAGAAGGGAAATCTTTTTATTAAATTACACTGTGTATGTTAAAGTCTCCTTATCTCCTTTACAATTCCTAGCAAATAACCACGACAAAAAATGGATGAAAATTTTTTCACCAAGAAAGGCCCAAAGGTTCTTGGTCCTTCCATTACAGTGTCAGCAAGAATAAAGATAGAAACCCACCAGTTTCTAGGTTCTTTCCTCATTTGTTATGAAAGCAAAAATACAGTAAGTGGAGTTGCTAATTTTAAGAATTTCCTGACAGGGTTAAATTCTAATCTTACTCCATTAACATGTCTTGTCTTCTATGACTACATATTGCAGAAGAATTTTCATTATATAACACTGCATGAATAAAATTTTCGGTCTTTCTTTGAAAAGCAAGTACAAAACATGGTCAGTATTACCCTAATTAGGAGAGAAAAAATAAGGTAGCATAAACCTTGGTCCTGCAACACAGAGCTGTATGAGTTGATCTTTGAGCTCATAAAGCTTCTTGATGGAATAAGTGTGTTTTAGTATGACCTAAAGGATATTCCCATATCAATCCCTTTTCCCATAGCCAGACTTTTGTCATAGCTTGGTCATAAATGGACTTTCAAGGTAATCATTGTATTTAAAAAGTTCTGTCCATGCTGCCTCTTAAACAACCCTCTTCTAATTTGATAGTTTCAGCAAAGTTACCTTATTTTGGACACGCACATAATCATTATTAATGCTCTGCTCCACTACTCCCTGGAGCAACAAACCTACCTCTGGGAGACGGCACTATCCATGGAATGACTGCATTGGTCACTGACCCCATTTTGTGCCCAGGCTCCTCTGTCCCACCGACGCCACCAGCGCAGAGCTGCACAGTTAGTACTTCCCCAGATTGGAGCAAAGAATCATACGCTGTGGAGCGCAGCCTCAATTAAGGGCCAAGTGCTGTTCTCCCGCAAGAACCCTTGTTTGATTTGGTTGTTCTCCAGCCCCCTGCATGTAGGGCTTCCCTGGGATGGGCGCTTGGGTGGCCATGGCTGGTGGCGGTCAGCACCAGGGAACAAGGCTGGCTGTTTTCCTTTGGAAAATGCACTCCTGCCACTATGTCCCCCCAGTTTGGTGGGGAGTGGCGGTGAGGCCTTGGTGTGGGTGTCTTCCAACAAACATGGGGAGGCAGCCCTTACTGCCTGGGGCCCTGAGGCCACCTTTTTTGCATTACACACACACACCACGCAGCCTCACGGTGACCCACCCGGCTTTAAGAGCCTAAGCATGGCTTCACCCCTTCCTCCCTACAGGTAACGTCGGTCTCCAAGGCAGCCCCGGGCTCCCTCCATGTGCCAGGGCCAAGGGCAGGCACCGCCACCCCCGCCATGGTGAGCGATGGCGCGAGTACCACCACAGCCACCGAGGTGGACGACAGGTACAGGGGCTGCTGCCATGGTGTGCAATGGCACAGGTACTGCCACACCATCCGCCGTAGCCGGGGGTGGTGGCACAGGTACCGCAGCACCCGCCATGGCGGGGAGCGGTTCCTCTGGGGGGCCCGGCGGCCGCCATGGCGGGCGGCGGCACCGGGCGTAGCAGCTGGAGTGCGTCAGCGGCGAGGGGCGGGGAGGCCGCCGGGGGAGATATCAGGCGCCGGGCGGCAGGACCGAGCGAAGCCAGAGGTGAGCCGGGAAGCGCCGTGATCGCTGTCAGGGAGCGCGCCCGCTTGCCATCGCCGCCTCCTCCTCCATACATCCCCGCGCCGCCGCCCGCGTCCCCGCCCGCCGCCGCGAGAAGCAGCCCGGCCGCCTGAGGTGAGGCGCGGCTAGGCGTGAGGGGTAACCTGCCGGGGCGTCCCGCTTCTCCGCGTAACCCAGCCGGGCCTGGCCGGGTGGGTGGGAGGGCGGGCTCGGGGGGCGCCCGCAGACGCCGGCAGAAGGGAGGCAGGCCCGGCCCTGCCCGC